CTTGAATATTTTTGCATTTTTACATTGAAATTATTGGTCATTCTGAAATTTAGTTACCATATTGATAATATATAGCACAGTGCAGTGTTGATTTAAATAAAATAATCTAGAATCACACCTAGTGAACTTAAAATTTTATTGGTGAAATGACGGCATCAATCATGAGTCCCCTGAAAGGTGATTTCTCCTCCATCCTTACTTCCATCTCTTCTCTCTTCTCCTTCACCCCGACTTCTAATTCCCATCATCATCATCATCAACCAGGAACCTACATACACACCTCAAAGTAAGTGTACTTTACTGCATTTTTTTTTTACTTTGTATGTACTTTTTGGTGAGCTGGAACCAATTACCCAATATCCCATTGAAACAATGGGTTTGGTTAACGATATTTTCAGTTAACGAACGACCTTCTGGAACGAATTGTTTGTTAACTGAGGGACCATTGTATTTTGCCTACTTTGGAGTGAAAATAGGTAATTTAGATAAACCATGGGTGCCACATAAAGTATGTGGCACTTGTGTTGAAGGTTTAAGACTGTGGAAATATGGTAAGAAAAAAGTTATGCCATTTAGAGTCCTATGCCTATGGTATAGCGGGAGCCTAAAAATCATGGTGAGGACTGTTATTTTTGCTCCGTGAAGATAGAGGGATATAATGCCAAAAAATAAACAAGGAATCATTTATCACAAGATTCCATCTGCCATGAGACCAGTGCCATGGTCCTGAGGTTCCAGTCCCCATTCCGCCAGATGTGATGCAGTCCATGTCATCAGAATCTGACTGTGATTCATCGTCAGGTAACGGAAGTGATGTTTATCAACCCAAAGATATTAGTGATGTACCAGAGGTGTTTACCCAGAGTGAACTTATCGATCTGGTTAGGGATTTGAATATACCAAAGGAGTCTGCTGAACTTTTAGGATCTAGGTTGAAATCAAAGAATTTATTGAGCAAAGGGACATATTTTTTATGGTATAGGCAATGTGAACAAGAACTAGTTCAATTTTTGCCAGAGGAAGGCTCCTTGGTTTATTGTAGTAATGTGTCTGCTTTAATTAACTATTTTGGCATTACCTATACAGCTACTGAATGGAGGTTGTTCACTGATTCTTCAAAATCAAGTCTCAAAGGAGTTTAACTTCATAATGGAAATGTATTTTCATCAATTCTTGTGGCTCACTCTGTTCATTTTATGGAAACTTATGAAAATTTGCAGATACTTATAGAGAAAGTTCATTACAAAGATCATGGTTGGTTGGTTTGTGGAGATTTCACAGTCAATGCTTTGTTGCTTGGTCAACAGAGTGGATACACGAAAATGTCATGTTTTTTGTGTGAGTGGGACAGCAGAGCAAGACGTGAACATTGGGACAAAAAGCACTAGCCACCTAGACAGGCTCTTGTGCCAGGTTCAAAAAATAGTCTACATGAACCATTGATTGACCCTAAGAAAGTGCTGCTGCCTCCTTTGCATATGAAACTAGGGTTAATGAAACAATTTGTAAAAGCCCTAGATAAAGGAAAATGATTGTTTCAGGTACATATGCAGGGAATTTCCATCAGTCACATATGAAAATATCAAAGCTGGCATTTTCATGGGCCCTCAAATCCGAAAGTTAATGTTGGACCACCAATTTGAAGAATTATAAGAACATAAGAAAATAAGGAGTCTGCAATAGGCCGGTTGGCCTGTGCATGGCAGCTCCTGTCGAGAGTTACTACCACTCTCTATCATCCATGAATCTATCGAGTCTCCTTTTGAAACTTTCCAGCATTCCAGCACTAACTACATACTTGCTAAGCTTGTTCCACTCGTTCACCATCCTATTTGTGAACCAGTTCCTTCCTATCTCCCTCCTAAACCTAAACTTATCCAACTTAAATCCGTTGCTTCAAGTCCTATCCTGCTCGGATATTATACGAAATTTATCTATATCCCCTTTATTGATTCCTTTCACCCACTTAAATACTTCTATCATATCTCCCCGCACTCTTCGTCTTTCTAGGGAATGCAAGTTTAGTTTCTTTAACCTATGCTGATATGGAAGGTTTCTAAGTCCCGGAATCATTTTCGTTTACAGTGAACCCTCACTTTACGCGGTCAATTGAACCCACGGCGGCCCGTGTAAAGTGAGAAACGCGTAAAGTGAACAACATAACATATGGGATTAATTGAAATAGAGACCGGGCCGACCCCCAAACTCCACTTTTTCAGACACAATACCTACGTTGTAGTAAAAATAACTTCTTAATTTTATGATGGTATGCACACACAATTAATAATTAAGAGAAATATCAATAATATTAGGTTTTTTAACACTTACATTAGTAGAAAAGATGGCTGGGCACATGGGGATGGGGGGTTGGTTCCGAGGCAGAGGGCAGATTATTGGCCCTCACCTGTATCACTTGTATCAATTGTATCACTATCCACCACAGAGGCTTGCAGGGCCTCTTTGTCAAACCCCTCAAAGTCCATATAAGTCCATATCCTCACTATCATTATCACTATCACTGACTTGGGCCAGCTGTGGTGGGTGGCGGGTGAAGAACTCGGTAATGTTTTGATGACTGGGCGACCTTGTGCGCACCCTGCTCGCGCCGCTCTCCGCGTAAAAGGGTACACACACCGTGGAAAGTGAGCATTCCGTGTTCGGCAGGGTACCGCGTAAATGTGGAAACGCGTAAAGTGGGACCGCGTAAAGCGAGGGTTGACTGTATTTAGATCCTCCTGTAATGCATTTGCATCCTGCCCTGAATTAATCTGCCGCCCTATTTTGGTGTCATCCGCAAACTTGCTTATGTCACTGCTGATCCCAGTATCTAGATCGTTTATGTAGATTATGAACAACAGTGGGCCTAGTACTGACCCCTGGGGAACCCCACTGGTTACACGGCCCCACTCAGATTTAACACCATCTACGCTGACCCTCTGCGTTCTATCGGTGAGCCATGATTTTATCCAATTTAAAACTTTCCCCTCGATACCATGAGCCTTAATTTTTCTCAGAAGCCTCTGATGCGGTACTCTGTCAAATGCTTTGCTAAAGTCTAAGTAAATAACATCGTAATTTTCGTCATTATCTACTACCTCGAAGACTTTCCTAAAATTGATGAACCAGTGTGAGAAAGAAGCAGGGAATAGTTTCAAGAATGTTGTGTATAGTTTTTTAGGCAATAAAAAAGATCTAAACTATCAAAACATTGTTGAAGGTATGTTGAATAACTTTAAAAACATGGGTTCCAATATGAGTGTAAAAGTGCATTTCTTACATTCCCATCTTGAGTATTTTCCTGAAAATTTAGGTAGTTTAAATGAAGAGCAAGGTGAAAGATTTCACCAGGACAGTAAGGAAATGGAAAAAAGGTATCAAGAAAGGTGGAATGTGAACATGATGGCAGACTACTGCTGGATGCTGAAGAGAGATTGTGCCAAAAGATTGCCAGAAAATGGGAAATAAAAAGTTTCACCCATCCTAGAAGCCTAATATTATGTTCATACATATTCATAGAGTATATCATTTCTTTCTGTATTTGCAGGCAAATAGCCTTAATCACAACAATCTTTAGGTTTCGTTAACTTTGAAGCCTACTGAATTGTCTTATTTGTATTATTTTGTCATATTTGTATGTTATAATGTAATAAAGTGTGACGTGATAGAGCAAGACAAAGTTTATTTTTTAAATCATTTATAAAAAAATGGATCAGACTCAAGTCTCAGTTTTAAAACATCATATCAGAGCTCACTGATGAAAATAATGTGGGAAAACATACAGAAAAACAAATAAGTCGTCTGTGGATCAGTCGTCAATATTAACCAACGATTAAACAAATACCACAATTTCACTGTGGACACTGGTGAAGTTTGTGCAAATGTGTTAAAAATGGTTATTTACAATTTTAACCTAACCTACCTTAGTTGATAAGAAAAACAAGCAGCAGAAGCAATGTTAGAAGACCTCACCAACATAACCAAAGAAACCTACCTAACATTACCTAACTTCTTAGCCATGGGACTCCCCCCTCCCACCCAGCATATTAGACAAAGAACTTACTATGGCGTAGTAACTACGTGATATGGTATAATTCTACGTTTTTTATGGACGTGAGAGCAGCCGCCCAGTCCAGACAGGCTCATACAGTATACTGACCGTAGGTCTCAATTGGAGCGCAGCACAGAAGGCATTTTGAAATATATCAATATGATTGGATGTTTATACTGTATATCTGGAAATGAGACATCATTGCAGCATTACCGACGAAAAGACAAAGGATCGAGTGCTTATTATCTACCAAACGAAGAATTTTCACAAATGATTATCATATCAGAACTCATTGATGAAAGACAATAAATGGTAAAGGTTAAGTTTCGGACCCTAATCCTTCTGGTGATGAAGCCTATGTTTTTCCAACGGTTTTTGATGTTTTATTCAATTTTGATATTGATTTTCGTTGGAAATCATGGCCAAAACGAGTGACTTCCGACGAAAATCAATATAAAAATTGAATAAAACACATCAAAAACCATTGGAAAACCGAGGCTTTAAAAAACAGAATGATTTTGAGACCTAACCAATCCAAACAAACCAACCCTAACTTCAGCAGAGACGCCACGGTCGACACACGCTAAAGTGGACGAAGAGCGACCTGTGTACTGGGGTAAGATGAAAATAACGTAAATTTTTAATTTAAACACACACCATATATCAGTTATTATTCATTTGCGACGGAAATGCCATATTAGAAATGTCGTCTAATTTGACGAGTTACACCAAAAAACACCTCAAAATAATTGTTGCTAATTATGGTCCAAAACTTAACTAATACCCAATAAACATCAAAACATCTGCGGTGGGTCAGTTGTCAATATTAACCAGTCTTAGACATATCAAAATTAAATTGCAACTATAACATTCCCGAGATTAGTTAAGCCACAAGTGAAACAAACCCTAGTTTGGTTGGTCATTGTGTAAATAAGGTAACCTTATAACTTACAGCTTCTTCAAATCCCGTGGGGCCATAGCCTCTTCTACGTCCTCTACGACCTCTGTCCCGTCGCTCCGTCATCACGAGATTGTCATATGGCAGTTGAACAATTACAAGTACTGTAGCAGAGAAGTTATATTAGTAAGCACTGCTCCCGCGATGCGTGCTCTTGTTTGTTTACACCAAGAAGCGGTTAGTTACCGTTTCCAGTTGCTGTACAGGACCCCAGCAGGGCTGCCAGATGTACCACAAGCTTCACGGCCAAAGTCACGCCATATCACGGCAATCGCCCAAAATTCGGCCAAAACTTTTTGGATGGGAAGCGCAAGGCTATTTTTGCAATCCACACAAAATAAAAGTATCCCCTACAATATCCACTTAAAATTTCGTGATAAAACCAAATTGTCACTTAGAATTGAGAGCCCAATAATTACATAAACATAATATCTATAATCTACAGTGAAGATTTACCTTTGTGGGGTACGTTGTAGTGGATTTCAACCCTACAGACGCTGTTTGTCGCTGAGTAGCCGACCCCGAGAATTCCCCAGTGTATGCCTCGTGGTCTGGGTCAACCAGCGCCGCCATACATCACGGAGGTCAACTACTAAGCCACGCCTACCCCCGCTATTTAGGACCTAACCTCGTGGTGACCTCTCTCTTCTTCTAGCTACAGCCGCAGCAAGCAACACCACCTCCTCCGCCGCTGCCTGGCGGCCCTCGCTCCTGCCGGCGAGCATGGCGACCCACAAGCTTGTCCTCCTCTGAGCACCCTCACCAACCAGCTCTCTCTACTCAACGCTTGTAGCCATGCTGCCTTCCCAGCACCAAGCTGCATTGTAATGTACATCCAATACAACATGTATACAGAAAGCACATTGTGAGTTTCTTTTTACTTTTACTTTTATCCTCTTCGCCACTGATCGGCTTGTTAGCCGCTTGGGCGATCGGTCACGTCTCATTTCATTTATATTCTTCACCAAAAGATCGGCTCGCTAGCCGCCCGGGCGATCGGTCACGTCTCTGTCACGCACTGTTGGCAAATACTGGGCATGCACCGGCTCCTGAATGTACCTGAACCCGCTCCAGTGTTGGTCAAGACTTCTCTTGAAAGAGCTCACACTCGGTGCCGTCACAACACTCTCTGGTAGATTGTTCCAAGAGTTTACAACCCTCACTCCGAAAAAGTTTGCCCTCACGGTTTTCTGGACTTGCGGCTTCTTCAATCTTGAGCTGTGACCCCTTGTGGGGCGAGCGTCCGCCAGCTCCAAGTAAGGACACTCAACTGAGTAGTGCCCCCTGAGATGCTTATACACCTCAACTAGGTCCCCCCTTGCCCGTCTGTAGTATAAGCTAGGCAAGTTCAGGCGCTCCAATCTCTCAGGGTAGCTGAGGTGCCGAAGTGCAGGCACCAGTTTGGTGGCCCTCCTTTGAACATTTTCAACCAACTGACAGTCCCTAGTGATGGTTACAAGTGTTCCCTAAAGAATGCAGTGATGGGTAGGGAAACACCGTGTAACACTGAGTCCGTTTATTATGGATGAGAGAAATACAAGTGGTGACTAGCGTGTGCCATGCACGGCTCACACAGTCAGACTGAGGCTGCCTTGCCATATGGCAGCCTCGGGGCAATGTTGCCACATAACGTGCAGTTTGCCACGTGATAATATATATAAATGCTACTCGGCACAGTAGCTTATATACAGGGTTGCTACTCGGCACAGTAGCTTATAGACAGGGTTGCTACTCGGCACAGTAGCTTATATACAGGGTTGCTACTCGGCACAGTAGCTTATATACAGGGTTGCTACTCGGCACAGTAGCTTATATACAGGGTTGCTACTCGGCACAGTAGCTTATATAGCTTATATACAGGGTTGCTACTCGGCACAGTAGCTTATATACAGGGTTCTACTCGGCACAGTAGCTTATATACAGGGTTGCTACTCGGCACAGTAGCTTATATACAGGGTTGCTACTCGGCACAGTAGCTTATATACAGGGTTGCTACTCGGCACAGTAGCTTATATACAGGGTTGCTACTCGGCACAGTAGCTTATATACAGGGTTGCTACTCGGCACAGTAGCTTATATACAGGGTTGCTACTCGGCACAGTAGCTTATATACATAACCTACACCTAGCATATCTCGGGGACCAGATGGGGTGACAGTACACCAGATGGGGAAGCACTTCACTCCTGAAGATCGTCACGAGGGACGGACCGTCTAGATATCTCAACGACCTTCTTATAAGACCCAATAATTTATTTGCCTGATTTACCTTCTTCTCACAATGGCCCGAGAACTTCAGCTCATTGTCAACATACACACCTAGGTCCTTCTCACACACAGTCTCAACTAGTGCATTTTCTTCATCCCGTTGGGACATATGATACGCCTCCTTACCATTGGTACGCCCCAGGTGCATCCTCTTACACTTCGTGACATTGAATCTCAGCAGCCATTTCTTCGACCATTCCTGGAGCCCACAGAGGTCCTTCTGCAGCTCTTCACAGTCCGCTTGGTTCTTAATTTCCCGAAATAACTTGCCATCATCGGCAAACATTTGTATGGAGGAGTGTACAACGTCAGGCATGTCATTTATGAAACAAACAAACAACAGCAGGCCCAATACACTGCCCTGTGGTACCCCACTTGTTACAGGTACAGATGACGATTTCGTGCCATTAATCACCACACACTGCTTGCGGTCATGTAGAAAGTCTTCTATCCACGCTCGGACATTTCCCCGAATTCCGTACCCTTCCAGTTTGATTTTCAGCCTTTCGTGGGGTACACTGTCGAAAGCCTTGGCAAAATCTAGGTAAATATTGTCGATATTACCACCCCGTTCTAGAATATGGGTCCAAATATCCAATACCTTGAGCAATTGTGTTAAGCAAGAGCGCCCCGGCATAAAACCGTGTTGGCAATCTTTTACAAGGTTGTTTCGTAGTAGATGTTCCATCGCGGCATCTCTGATAATACTCTCAAGTACTTTACATATTATGCTGGTCAGGCTCACCGGTCTATAGTTGTTCGTGGAGTGACTATCGCCCTTCTTGAAGATAGGACTCACATAAGCCACTTTCCATTCACTGGGGACCATTTGTTCATCCAGGCATTTACAAAACAGAATCTTCAGGGGCTCTGCAAGCTCGTTGCACAGCTCTCTTAGCACTCTAGGATGCACCATGTCAGGTCCGGGACTCTTATGGACCTTTAGCCTGGACAGTTTATTTCTAATACCCTCTTCTGTGAACACAATGTGGGTCAGTGCTGTGTCGAACCGTCTGTCCTCAAACGCAGGAAGGTTACTCGCATCCTCTCTTGTGAACACTGAGGAAAAGAAGCTGTTCAATGCCTCAGCTTTATCCTGGTCAAAATCTGCGTAACTACCATCTTCAAGCCTCAGGTCAGATACTCCTACTCGCATTTTCAATTTCGACTTTGCATAGCGGTAAAACGCCTTTGGGTTTGACTTGACCTCGCGTGCAACCAGCCTCTGGAACTCCTTTTCAGCCCTCCTACACTCTATCTTTGCTTGGTTTCTGGCTCTTGCATACATCCTCCTGTCTTGCTCATCGTTTGACCCAACCCACGTCTTGAATTTCTGGGTTTTCTTCTTAATTTTGTCGACCGCCGCATGGTTCATGTGTAGGGATCCCCTCGTATTCCTAGAAGCACTGGGTTTGGTCTTGGGTATATATTTATCGATCAAATGGGTCATTTTACTAGTTATGATATTCAGCGTAGTGTCTGCGTTCTTGTACCTTAATAAGTCAGGCCAGTTGATACCCCTCATCTCTTCCCTCATCCCATTGTAATTTCCCTTGTAATATTTGCACCTTGGCCTGGCCTTATCTTGAACTAGGTAACAGTTAAATCTGAATGACAACACTGTATGGTGACTGGTGCCAACTGGGGCAAGGTGTTCCAGTTTGGCCACCATACCCTCCTCGTTTGTTATGATGAGGTCAAGTGGCTTGGGTGTTTGCTCCCCTCTGTAATGTGTCGGGTCTCTCACATGTTGGAACAGAAAATTATCTCTCAGAGTTTCTACAAAAAGAGTAGCAGGGTTATTCAAGTCATTCGGGGTGGACTCGTTTCTCCAGTCGATGTCGCCATAGTTAAAGTCCCCCATGATAAGGAGGTGGCTAGGGTTGAGCATCGCCGCATTGTTTATTAAGGTTCTTAAGTTCCTTTGATTTAGTGGGCCACAGTTTGGGGATCTGTAGATACACCCGACGATAAGTAAGTCCCCTCCCTTTAATTTAATTTTACACCACTTGGACTCTTCAAAAACATCCTCTCCCTGTACCCTCGCCTGGCTGGCTCTAAGGTCTTGCCTAGCGTAGATAACCACACCCCTCCTGCAGGATTCTTGAGTTAGGTTCGTAAATGAGTCATATCCAGCAATACTGAACTCACATTCCTCTGGGTCGATTCTCCTGTTCTTGTACAACAGTTCTACAACTCCTACAATATCTGGTTGGTGTACTCTTAGTAGTGTTTCAAACTCCTCTCTCTTATCAAGGAACGTGTCAGTATTAGTGTACATGACATTCAAGCCAGAATTTGTTCTCGGTAACGTCTCTGCTCTTAGTAATCTATCCTACCTCATTCCTGAGTGTGAGATATCTACATGTACGTACGTTTGTGTGCCCATACTAAGAGAATTGACAACTGGCCACATACAGTACGCTACAAATGGTGACCCCCGGAGATTCGCACTCACACAGGATGGAGGAGAAACAGATCACGCTCCCAGTCTTCAAGCAACATGGAAGACTGGCTTATCCACCCAGAAGCAGCTCTCATCGGCTCTACAGCTACTGTCTCTGAACCGCAGGTTAGACACCCTAGAGCAGCACTGCTTCTCTAAGCAGACACCAGCTCCTCTTCCTGCCCCAAGCACCACATCCTACCTACCCCAGCACACCCGTCCTGCCTCAGACGCCGCCCCCGGCCCAGCAGTACCCCCTGCCGATCCTCCTGATGCAGCCCCTGCTCCCGGCGCGGCCCATGCGCCTGAGTGCGGACCAACACACCCCTCTTTTCTCCCTCAGGTACTACCTGCTACTGTCCTGCACCCTGCTGCTGTAGTGGACCCAGCTGCTGTCACGAGCCCTCATCCGCTTCTGCTGATGCAGCCCCTGCTCCTGACCCAGGCCCACACACCCCAGCAGGCGCATCTGAGGACTCTGTACCTGTCGCGAG